CACAGGTGTGGAGTACTGATTTCCCAAGAGTTTTCTTGGCTCAACAGCCTAGCAGCTATAAATCAGAGGTGCACTACTTGGCAGCAGCCGTGGTGGGTTTTCACTATCTTTACTTTGGTCCCAGAAAGGGACTTTTTTTCAGTGCCCACAGCACTTCAGCTGTAGCACTATCACTGAATACTTTGGAAAAATATCACAAACTAGAGGACGAAGACATATCTCAAAAATTGTTACTGCTATTTACTTCATATAAGACAGAGACTACATCAACTAAGTGACTAAAATAATTAAAATGAAAATGACTGCAATTGCAGCCTGATTACAAAAATTAGATTAATTCATATTTATTTCAAATTCATGTTGAAATATACTGTCAGGCTTCCAGAAGAAACACTTTCATATTATCAGAGCTAGCAAGGTAAGAAACATCACTGCACAGGGAAGAATATGCAAATATGCCTTTTCCTGATATTTTCTGAAGAGTGATACATTTTACAACATTAGATGCCTAGCTTAAGCCTGTAAACATGTTAAGTAATTTCAGCTGTTACAGTACCTATCAGACATCAGACATCAGACATCAGACATCATGGACACTCTTGATACTTGATAAAGTAAGATCACCAAGAAAGACCAGAACAAATGCTGGATTAATTTCCCAGTCTAAGTAGAGGTAAAACTGCAGGCTTTACTGCTGTCAAATGGTCAGCTTTGAGACACCACCAAAAAACTTGGTGGATACTTTGGCAACCTTCCACATGTTACAGATCTTCAAACGTGACACCAAATTCAAACATACTGACCAAAGCCAAGTTCTTGTCCACCTCTGACATGAATAGGGCTCACAATCCTGTTCACGTAACTTTATGTATGTTAAAAGACGAAAACACATCCTCTTAATCACACCATCTTATTTTAAAATAGCTTTTGATGGTATTGTTTTAATAAAGGTAGTTGTGATGATTACATACAGGGTACAGGAAAAGCCTGTCTTTAAATCACTGCAGCCAATGTCATTTACCAGAAATGAGTTTATCCCAGGATGAGTTATAAAGGCCACTTTAAATTATAATAAGGTGTTTACTGCCAGGAAACTCCTCTCTTTAATACAAATTCCCACTTTTCTCTCCCCAAAACAACTGACAAATGTAGTTGGTCCAAAGGTTATAGTGTGCAAATGCTAATAGTTCTTTAATGTGGTGATTCGATATTACTTGACTCAAAAGTAAAAAACATGTCGATGACATAGTAAATGTAGCTGTACAAGCATATACTGAGACTACTCTGAACATACTACGATCATGAAAGGCAGGTAGTAGTGTAAAACCTTTGGATTATTTTCTAATATTCTCTAATCTGAGAAACTAAATGAAATACATATAGTATGACTGCAATAATTAAAAAAAAATGGAGACATATTACTTTGTAACAATGTACGCAGGCTTGATCTGTAGAAATACAACAAATTGCAGTACTTAACAGAATATTGGTAACCCAAGCCGTGTTCTCCATATGCTGCAGCACAGAAGGGGAGTCCTTCAGACTCAGTTCCACTTGTCTCCAGTCCCATTAGCATTCTGCAAGCTTGTTCATGAGTAGTCTACAGTAAACATGCAATGCAGAAAAGAAATCAGGAAAGCACAGCAGAGTGACTGAGGGAAAACAATTAGGTGTCCTTCTTTTTTTTTGTCTCTAAGTGAGAAGTGTATTATTTTTACTCAGTTAAAATGCCACAGGTATAGTATAGACTGGAAGGAAGATATTAATCTTATTTTTCACAGTCAGTTCAGATATATATGGTTATTGTCCTAAAGCAATCAAACAAGCCAGTAAATGTCTCTGTTTTTTGCCTCTGGTCTCATTTTCTGAGGATGAAGTGGAATACTATTGCTGCTGCAGTTATCTCTGTGTTGTCTCCTATTTATGCTGGATAAAGGCTCAAATTATTTTTAGCATGCTGAACTTGTTTATTTCATTCTTGTTTTGAACATATAGGAAAGCATCCTTGCTGTCATTGGAAAGAGCATGTGAAACACAATTTATTCCCTACTGTAGTTATTAAAAAAAAAAAAAAGAAGAAGAAGAAAAAAATAGAAATCTAGGCCTTAACATCATAGATGTCAGTCTAGTTGAAGATCTAGTCTGATCATACAGATGGGTACTAGAGGAATCTTCCCGGTCACAGTACTCACCCTGACCATGACCACAAGAATGTTTTTTTCCTGGCCACTCCTTACACTGGACCCAGGAAACACTTAGACCTGGAGTTGTTCACTTATCTGCCTTGAGGCTGGCACTGTACCTTTCTGAATTTGTATCAGTAGCTTCATTTTGACAACAACACAGTGAGAAAAGGTAAAAAAAAAGGCGGCTAACAGTTCTTCCAGAAATATGTTCTGAAAAACAGATGAAATTGTCCCTTAAAACTTGGGTAAATATCATAAATGGTGTCAGCTACTGTGACATGGTTTTCATGGCTGTAGTAGATACCAATGATTATGGCCATGTTTTTATTTCTCCACAGTCAGTAAATGCACAGGCAATGACCTCACGAGGTATTTTTCTGGCATGAAAATCAGAGTTTCAGTGCTTCTTCCTCCTCAGGTTGTGATTTTCTGGCAGTAGTTGGGAGAAATTGGCAGAAGTAAGAGCAAGTCAAGTACTACAGTGGCTGCATGCTGGGTAGTAAGATTACTCTACCTGGCATTGGATGGGGCAGCTAAGTAAGTCCTGACCACTTGGGTGGCAGAAAGGCTGCTGACAATGGGATGTGAGGTAGGATGAACAAAATCCTTAAAACTCTTGCTCTCCTTGCTGAAGGTGGTGGGGGGTGGTGGGGTGGTGCGGGTGGGCCAGTGTCTCACGGTCTCCTTCAATAAGAATAGCAAAATCTTACAACCTGTTGAAGATGTCACATGGATGTTTGTGACCAGCTTCTTAGCTCTGCAATCCTCAAGAAAGCGAAACCTGCTATTTGAAGAAGTATAGGACATCTGTGATAGTCAAGTCAAGTCCTTCACAGAGGAGGAGTACAGACTATCACATTTCATCAGCAACTTAGGTAAGAATGATCCTAACTTGGTCACTACAGGTTTTCAACTAAATTTCTGCAATGTGTTCCCAATTGAGAGAAACAAAATGATAGGTAATGGCAGTCTTCAGGGTCTCATTAACCTGGCAAGTGTGGCAAATAAATAACTAAAACAAACTTAAAAAGCCTGGAAGCTGCTACCACCTTTAAGATCTTGAAAAACAATTTCAAAACAAAATCAATTGTTTTTCGCTATGAGACTGAATCCACAGGACAATGGCTTCCCATGCCTCTTTACTTTCCTTGTGCTTGGTATACATTAGAGATCTGTTTGATTAGGGCCTCCATTACCAAGGGATTATCAAGGACTTCATCTGCAGTATATACCCTAAGTGCATTGCATTCTTTTGCTTTTAAAATTCACCCTCCTGTTAAGCTTTCGCCCCTTCCAGGAAACACTGGTGCTGTTGTAAGGCCAGAGATCACTTGTAGCACCTGCACTGCTCTGTCAACTTCTTATGTCCATTATCAAAGCTTTCAGTTTCTGAATATTAAAATAAAAGCCTCTCCAGCCAAATCATTGCTAGAGGTCTTCTGGAAATAGCACCAGGAACTGTATGAAGGAACACAGGTGCCAAAGAGCTACTTCCTATGTTGGTTTGCAGCTTATCAATTCTCATTCTTGTACAATAAAAGAAATAATAATCTTTATGGGATAGCGTACCAAAACTCATCCTCACATTAAACCACATTCTGGATTTACCAGCATAACTCAATTTACTTCAAGAGCATTCATGTAGCTAGTGTCCCCAGAGCAAAGTTTGGATGCACAGTTTACAGGAGAGGGCCATTTGAAATGGCTTTGTGTTTTATGTCTTTCACAGAACTCAACCCTGAATTGCTTGTCAATGAGCAGCCCCATCTTCGGGACCACATTACAAAGCTAACTGAAAACACAATCCCAGCGACAGTGTGAATGTGTTTACTGGCAGGAATATTAAAATGCAAAAAATTTGTGGGAAAAAAAAGGGAGCATATAATCACTATAAGTGGACTTCAGATAACGGATAAAGTTAGAGGAAAATATACAAGCAAACAAAAACACAGTGGAGCACAATGGACTAAACTTATCCCAAGTATAACTCCAGCCAACTGGCCAGTATCTGGTTGTCAAAATATGTTTTATGGGGAAAGAAAGAAACTAAATAAAGTATAAAATCTGTTCTAGAACATAGCACATGGGTTTTCTTTGAATAAATCAGGATGCCTTCTATAATGCAATACTTTGAGATAAATTACTTGTTACTGCAACTCGAATATCAAGCTATGATCCTTACCATTTTTGTGAGCCCTTTTGTCCCCCTTTTTACTTCACAGCATTCTATAAATATCCAATGTGCTATTTTCTTGTGATCACAGCAAAGAGGGGGTTTAGGAATTTTTGTACCTATATCACTGTGGCAACTAGATATGTGAAAACATTTATGACTGCTCCTTCTCTAGAGTAAAAGCCTGCATTATCTGTGCAAGTCATAGCTAATTGTTCTGCATAAAATATGGGTTTCTTATTACTACCCACTACTTTGGAAATTCATTTCATGTAGTTGCACATAGCAAACTGTAAAGTAGGTTTTATGAAGCCAATAATGCAGATATAATACTTGAAGAATTCCTTTTGGTTTGGATATATTTATTTTTCCAAAGATTTTGTTTGAGAGAAAATGAGATTGCTATCTGCTGTTTCCTTATTTTTTTGCAGGAAAGCAAAGGGTTGTTGACTTCCTCTCCCCTCCCTTCCTTCCTTCTTTCTGAAGGTACTGTACTCATCTGAAAAAAAGAGAACGAAGTGATTGTTCCTGTTCTCTTTCTTAAGTCATTTGAAACACTGTCCCTGCTAGTTTTCTAAGTTTACTGCAATCTCTGCACAGGGGGAGGGAGAGAGAGGGAGAGAGAGTCAGAGATTACCAACATGAGAGCAGGTAGAGAGTTTAGGGCAAGACTCCTTCCAGCTTCAGCAACTGGTAAGTTAAGTAAAAATGCTTTTATGGTTAACTCTTTAGAAGTGCAATTTATATGATTTTGTATTATGAAAAGGCATTAATCAGATACACATTTAACTGTTAAAAAAGATAGTAACCATATGCATTGACAAGCAGTATATTTACGCTATAGATAACTATAGTCTGGTTTTTAGATACTGGTGATAATAGCATACAGGTTAACCAATGCAGACAAGAAAGTGTTTTCCAGTGAGGCTGATAATATTCATAACATAATCTACTGTGAATTTTGCATATATGGCTTCTGCTACATGAATCTTGTTACAGGCTTCACTAACTTCATCCTGAATATTTCAGCAAGATTCAGTGGGCCATTGCTGAAATAAAGAGAGAAGCTCTGTCATATGCAAATTGATGTATTTCATGTATCATCTGCCACTACTGAAGTCTGCTCCAACCCACCAACCTGTGCTATAGTGGGAGAAGAATTACTAGGGCTTTTTTTTTTTTTATTTCAAACTGTATTGTGTTTATGATTACACATGTTTATCTCTACTCATCTATGTATATGATTAGTCTAGGAACAGTGACATTTAAGACATGGTAAGACAGTTCCAGGTTGCCACTTGAAAAAAAGCAAGAGTTCATGTTGTGTAATATATAACAACACCAGGGCTGATCACCAGCATCAGTAATAGGATGGACTCAAATGTTTATTTGTTGTTTGCATTGTTGGAGATACCAGTAATATTTTTCATGTTGGGCACAAATGTATCAGAACAAACAGAAGTGGCATGTAAAATGAGTAATTGAATGCTAGAGTATGTTTCAAATATTGGAAGAGAAAAATCGCCCTGCATGCCTTTATAAAAGCAGAATACAGAGGTGGAGGGAAGAGTTAGGACAAGTGTCAATTTCTCTGCAGCAGGAGAGCTCGGTCATCTTCTGATCCAGTATTTCTTCAAGCTGCAGCTCTCTGAAGCACAGGGTCCTCTGCAGGATGCCCGGAGCCTGGAGAGAGTGGCTCCAAATGGCGGGCAAGCATCACAGAAGGCCAGCAGGCAGCTTGAGCTGCCCTGCTCCCGCTCCCAATCCCACTCCCACTCCCGCTCCCGCCGGGGCACCTGGGCTGTGCTTCCACCCTGGGACAGCCCTCTGCTCCCACTCCTCGCTGAACCAACTAGAGGAAAGGATTTCTTCCCCTCTATCTGGTGTCTTTCTGCAAGTTTTTCCTTAGGAAGGAGTGATCAGCTCCAAATTCAGCACGATTTCTGGGTAAGTTGTAGATACCCTTTGCTTTAGGAGCAGCACGTGGGTTCTGCCGAAGTAGGTGGAAATAACTTGTTTCTTGAAATCCGTAGCTTAATGTTGCAGCTCGGTCTAGTCTGGTACCAATTATTAGGTTTATTTGGTTATACTTAACCCACAAAGAATTCTCTGGTAATTGCAAGTAAATGCCAGATGTTGCCATGAAAACCGCTTGCCGCATCTTTCGCTCAGGATACCTGGATTTATGTTTTGTGTGACTAAATACTGATTTAAATTAAATAGATGATTTGGACAGCTATTTTGACAGGTACATATCAAACATCTGGAAAACCACTTTTTACTTCAAGTGAGAAGCAGAGGAGTCTCTGAAACATTAAAAAAATACACAAGCTCTGTATTTCTAGTGGTATTTGCTCAAAATGCAGAGTGTTAGTCTGGATTGCAATCACATGCAAGTTTTGATCCAGTTAGTTCAGAAGTTCAGTTTACCATGTAGGTAAGAGCCAGTTGCAGCCTTTAGGTATAGATTTTGTTTCTGATGATACTAAACATAAATGTATTCTTGATTTGGACCATGTATATGATAAATTCTTTCTCTGAGAGATTGTCTGAAATACATAAATAAGAATATGTGCGTTCATATTCATAGCAGGTGGCCAAAAGCAGTACATGCTATTTTTAAACCCACTCCCCAATAATAAGCACACAGAAATAAGCATTTTTAAATGAATGCTTAATAATTTGACAGTAAAAAATAGACTTTGAATTTTGAACTTCATTCTTAGATTTCACCTATCGGGTTTACTTTTCCTTCAAATAATACATCTTTGCAATCACTTGGAGTTTATTTTTTTGATATTGTATAATTTATTGCTGGGATAACTGTAGCATGATTTAGCATAATGGTAATTGTAACACAACTAATATCTTTCTCGAGGTGTCAGGAAGTGGAGATTTTTGGCTGATGTGTTATCCTTGTCCCACATCTCTGAGATGTTTATAAGCAGAGAAGGTTATGATCTGAGGCTGGATTGGGTACAGATCTAGTACTAGCTTATGGCACAAATTAAATGTTTGTGAAATGAATTTTCAGTTACCTCAAAGTTATATAAAAAAAAAAAAAGATAATATTGAAGCAATAAACCAAGAATAAAAAGAGGCTGTTAGAGCCATATTTATGTATATAGCATATATAAGTAAACGGTCAGTCAGTGTATGTATTTTCCCAGAGAATTATTTAAAGCTATTATTTCCATTTGTTCTGAAAAATAAAAACAAAACTACACCAATGATGGCAAAGATGTTACAGAAACCAGTTGTCACCCATGGAAATCCCAAGTTCACAAGTCTGATTCAAAAAGCATAGAAACTGATAGAAGTCTTTTTGTAAATGTCATTGCCTTTTTATATTTAGGACCAGCTTCTTCAATGTTGAAAACTGTTCAGAATGTGAGTTTTGGAAGCAGAATAGTAGCACTGAGTTACATTCCTAGTAACATTTTGGCATTTCTAATACAGATTTTAGACCAGGAGATAATCTGAATCTTTGAATTTTAAGTTTTTTATTGTTTTTGCATTCTTTCAAACAAGAACATTGACAAGAGCCTTGCCCTAGGACTGTCTGGATGTAGAACAGATACTGGTGGACCAAGAGGCACGGTGTGCATCTCACATGAACTTATTGGCTTGTCTTTTAGGTGTCGTGTCTAGTAGGACCAGATAGATATGCAGGATTTAGAATGGGAGAAGCACAGGGTGATGAATCATGGTAGCAACCCAAGACAAGCCTCATATACAGAGGCAGAAGAGTATGGATTACCCCAGATAGCACTTATATTGTTTCCAATCTTTGATACTGCAAAGCCTCAATGATGCAGAAAGACGTCTATCTGAATGAACCATTCCACTCAGCCATACATGTCAATGGAATACCACCAAGAGAAACAAAAAAAGTAAAGGCTGCATAAGGTAATAGGGTTTTTCTGTGGCCATGGTTTAGAGACACCAGTCAGGCAAAGGTATATAAGGAAAAGTAGCTTCTTATTAGTTGATAAGAAATGATCCATAGTTTTTGAGCACTAATGCATGTTCCCCAGTAGTAATTGATTCAGTGAAACAAACTGCTCCTTCAAACAGACCTTATGAGTGCTGTGTAGACTGCTACAGATAGTTGTAAAATTATTCATTTGTTTGATGGATTAATTATATAACCCAACCGATTTTTAAAAATAGACCACCTGTTAAAATCAAATGAACATTTTCTTCTTAAATGCAGTAGTTTTCCCCATTCTAGTTTACTGTCCCAGAAGACCACTGAAAAGGAAGGAATGTCAGCTTGGAGAAAAAAGAATTACAGAGAGACAAATCATGTGAAGCCTTTAAAAAGAAAGAAACGAATCTGGAAAAAGATGATTTGGGATTATCCTTTTTCTGCTGAAAAGCTGATATTCTGAAACTGAGACCGCAGCTCTCCATTGCTGTTAAAATGCAGTGGAATTTTATGGATGATATTCAGATTTTCATCCAATGAAGAGGCCTAATTTAATACTTACTGGTTATTTAGAACACATATTGAACTTCATGGTGGCTGTCTGATTTTTCTTTATATCTATCTGGCAGAGACTGGTCCTTCTTGCCTGGCTTCTAAAATACTAATGATCCAATGAAAAATATTGTTTAATCTTTGTTTTAGTTCCTTCCAAATTTAATACCTTTGTGACTTGCTTTTTTAAAACAACTGGTTTTATACTGGTGTCACCCTGATCTTGAAAAGCAAAACACAGCATTTTCCTTCTAAACCAACGATGTTCAATGCTTTGTAAAGACTCCTAATGTCATTGGAAGTAATTAAGCTAAGTAATCATATATTAAAAGAAATTATTTTCATGCTCTGAAGGTTACAGGAAGAAATTATGTGAATATTTGCTTTTTTTTTTTTAACTTTCACTCCTTATTTCCTGCTTTGTATGTTAGAAAGACACTTTATTAATTATTTAAATGAAGGATGAAAAAAAATATTATTCTTACTTTCTCTCCCCTCCCTCTTTTACTATGAGTGCTAAAACACTGACACATTTACATTCTACTTTGTGGGTGTGCATGAATTCATGCGATTTAAAAGAAAAAACTCAGGATAAGAAGTGTGTTTCTTGAAAACCTATTTTCCGCTTGCCAATATTCATAAAAAGTAAACCTGAAACATTCAACTTTCCAGCTACTTATTAGCAGCACTAGAATTCAGACAACACTGAAAAATACAAAAGTTCATTGAATCTAAAGGTTCATTTAATTGCAAAATGCTATAGGGTAAACTGAGTCTCTTACATTGCTAACATCACTTTTCACTAATGAATTAGGGAAAGGTACAACTGATTTGAAATTGAAAGCAAGGCTATGAGAAGGGTCATACATTTTTATTTGTTGTTCTTAGACAACTGTAGACAGTTGTACTACAAGGAATACTAATGCACAGCAAGCAGGAATCATCCACACAGTCCTCTGTCTGGAGCCCCGACGAAGAATAGAAACCACCTCATTTCTCTGTATGCAAAGAACTTTGCAGGGTGGTGTTCCCAGGGCAGAGGAGCAGGTGTGGTGGCTCTGGGATGGGAGCACATGGCTTTGCCCCTCCTCAGGGAGCAGCTTATTCTGACACCAGGCCCTCTGATAAGCCACAAGTGTGTTGGCTGGAAGGGACAAGATGACTTCCAGTCTCCCTCTTCACTGGTTTGTTGCTGTTCCTGACTGTGCAA